TATGACCAGGAGGATAATTTCATCGATGGGTGCATAATTATGAAAGTAGTACTGATGAAGCACATTACAAATAAATTATTTTTCAACTTGCGGCGCGTCGATATACAATTTCATAGCGAATTCACATCACACCCTAAGAAAAAAAAGGCAGATTTCTCGGCCACGCACTAGTGGTGTGTTTGAGATGTGAGAGCTTGCAATGTAGGAACTGAAACCATCTACAATCTCCTTTTAAGAAAATCAGATACCACCATAAAAACATGTGAATTACAAAATACCATTGCGCGTGAAAAATGACAAGTGGACTCTAGCCATCTAGGCCCACAATATACCCATGACATGATTAAATACAAAGATTTTTTTAACTCCGTGATTTTTGGAATAATATCAAGCAAATTGGCCCAAACAAGCACAAATAATTGCCATGACATAGAATCTCAGAGACTCAGCAGAATCAAGGAAGAAGCTAGGAAGCTTCTAATCCCGGAGTATATATTTGTTGTGACCTGTGACCCTGTGATCTCCAGTCAGACCTGCAGAATAAGCAGTTAACAGCAACTTTTCCTGGGGTCAAAGTCATGCAGACAGTGGACTTGGACTCAAAATCCTCCATCCCCAAGTTGCAGAGAAAAGAAAACGGCCAGAGAATCCTACAGTAAATTATACTATTACTCACATGCAATTGAACATATAGGGGGGGGTTTAGATCCAGGAGTGTAAAATTTTGGCGTGTCACATCGGGTATTGTATAGGGTGTCGCATGAGGTGTTCGGATGCTAATAAAAAACTAATTACAGAATCCATCCCTAAACCGCGAAACGAATTTATTAAGCCTAATTAATCTGTCATTAGCAAATGCTTACTATAGCACTACATTGTCAAATCATGGAGCAATTAGACTTAAAATATTCGTCTCGCAAATTAGTCTCACCCTGTGCAATTAGTTATTTCTTTTGCCTATATTTAATACTTTATGTAGGTATTCAAACATTCAATGTGATAGGGTGAAAAATTTTAGGATGAGATCTTGACAGGCCATATATATATATATATATATATATATATATATATATATATATATATATATATATATATATAGAGAGAGAGAGAGAGAGAGAGAGAAAGAAACACAGGTCCAAGCCATTGACACCACGTACCTACCTATACCCCTTCACATGTCTGCCAATTTTTCCAATGCAGTGTACAGTTCTTTTCTGGCCAGAAAAATGCATTGGTATACAGTTAAAAAAATACAGCTGAGATTGGCCTAGAAACGGAGACTTTGACGCGGCAGCTGAGCAGAGAAAGAATAGAGGAGATGATGAGAGAATCTTCCAAATTGCTTGCAACCAATCACTTGAATATTTCTTGTATATTTCGCCAATTTCGTGCCAACGACGAGTGATTCTTCTGAAACTTCTACGTCCTCCATGGACCTTAAATTCTAGTACCGTCCAATGAAGCATCTGAACTGAATGGACCAGGTCTTCCACGTCACCGTAGGCTTGGATGTGCATACTAAGGGTGAGTTTGAAGAATAGGGGATTGAGAAGATACGCAAAACGATGTGAGTCATTAGCATGTGATTAATTGAGTATTAACTATTTTAAATTATAAAAATGGATTAATATAATTTTTTAAAGCAATTTTTCTATAGAAAATTTTTGCAAAAAAAGCACCGTTTAGTAGCTTGGGAAGCGTGCGCGCCGAAAACGATGTGCTATCTCACTCATTGTCTAAGGACGCAAGTGGACAATCCCGCTATCATTAGTTTAATTTTTTACTCACTAGTATAAAATTTAAAGAAAAAATAATAATTGTGATAAAGCGGGAAAAAGATCACTTGCCCGTCGTCCCACTTGCATCCCCAATTTAAGCTTGCACATACAGTGTCCGTTTTATTTGCTGCAGGGATCAAATCAAATATATATACTTATCTAGCTAAAATTCCTAGAGGAGATGCTACTAAAATTCCAGTACTTGAATGTATATATTAATGTTTGAGAGGGGTGCAATGCATGTTGATGGAAGTGCAAAGCAAGCAGCCCATAGATTCAGAGTTTTCCAATGTGCGGTAGTTAGGCTGTGGCTGGGGTTGTCATGATCTCTGAAAAACCATTTATGCGAAGACCAGAAAAAAAGGGTTATTTTCAAGTACTTTTCGCTCAAAATTATGATTGGGCCAACTCAAACGCAAACCTTGAGGACAACTGGTTTTGAAATGGCAGTGCTCCTGACAAGCTTTCCGAATAAGAATAACAATGGTGACTGAAACAGAGTAGCTCCAGCGTTACACAAACACGTTTTCCTGCCAAATAAAAGTCCAAATTTGATCACATCAACTCCTGGAGCTAAGAGCAAGGGGACGCCCACTTGTTTCGTACTAAGTTCGAGTATAAGATACTTTCTGTTTTCTATTTCATAATTAAAATGTTAGCTTGCATTATTTTTCCCTCTGGTCTGAAAGCGGAGTGTTTTTTTTTAATTCACTAAACAAGCTAACAGATTTTCACAGGTAATTTTGTGATGAGCTAGATTTTTAAAATATAATTAAATTTCATATACAACTTTTAGTTTTAACTTATGTTTTCATATACCAATCTACACGGTTATAATTAAACTAATAATTAATCTAGACCCACTGTTATCTAATAATGTAGATCTTTTTCATTTTCTACAATACAAATATGGATATCTTTTAAGTCGTAAAGAACAAACCGGTGGTCCATTTTCAGTCCCCCCCTAACGATATAGATAATCTTTTTTAAAAAAAACAAAATTCTATATAATGTAAATGGCATGCATGGCAGCCGACATGTAAATCTAGTAGAGTGATGGTAGAGTCAATAAACCTACAGTTGAAGTCTTGGTTTGATCTATCAGGGACTAAATTATGTTCACGTGGGTTTAGTCATATAATTGTGTATTTTTCATGAATAAAAAGTTAAATAATTCTACAGGTCAAATAAAAAATATAGCTCGAATTATTCCACAGGAAAACCTGGCAACTCCTTGGTCAGATTATAACTTTTTTTTGAGGGCGTCAGATAATAAATTTTTCAATACATAGAAAATAGAAAAACTCATCTTTACCAATTTTGACACACACTACTACCATCCACACAGAAAAGATTCTTTTCTCCTCCAAAACAAAATCCCAACGCGAAAAACCAAACCGCAAAATCCACACGACAGTGAACCGATCGAGAGGAGATGAACAGCAAAGCAAACACGGTGGGCCCCACCCGGCTCCAGGGATGCCCTGCCGCGTCGACACGTGTCCAGGGGGGACTGGGCCCACAAGGCCATGGGCGCAGCGTACCCTGCTGGTCCGAGGTGGCACCGACGCGGTGCACACGTGGCGGGCGCGGAGGGCGACGGCTAGGTAGGCTGTAGGCGTGGGCGCGTGTCCGACGTGTACGGCCCGGTCCAACCCACGAATGTGGGGCCCAATGAGATGAGAGAAGCCCGCCATCTCGAACGCTGTTTGTTTAGTTCTCTGCTTTTTTTTAATTCGTGGTTGTTTTCTGTTACTAGTGGTTAATCACTTTATTATAATTGATTGAGTTGTATAACGTTGACTAGAGCCAACTGGTCTAGGTCTCCACTGGTCCTTGAACTTGATACGTAAGGTACAGCATGTCGACATGCTTGGTGATTTTGATTGATATCTTGGACGCCGTTTTTGTAATCTCTTTCGAACAACTTTTCCAATAATATGTACTGTATGTCACTAGGAATTGATTAAGAAATTTCAATCCTTCTTTCTTGCTCGCTCATTGTACGAAGACTTGGTGGAGAACGGTTGATATTAAGCGGTAAACAAGGAGGACCTCGCAAATCTAAATGATATATCAAGAATGCTGCAAACAAAATGGTAAGTACAGCTTGTGCACACAAACCAAAAGGCAAAAACCATATTATCTGATCTGAACCAAACAAAAAAAAAGAAAGAGGTGATCCATATCCAAATCTCAACAAGGGGACTCCTAAACATTTCCCCAAGCTCACACCACTCAAGTAAATAAAAGAGTAAAGTCCATCACCGGTCACTAGACTTGTATCGCTGTGTCATTCCGGTCCCTAAACTCATAAATTGACCGTTCAGATTCTCAAACTTGTTCGACTGTATCATCCCAGTCCCTAAACTTGCAAATCACTCGTTTAGATCCTCCAACTTGTTTAGTTGTGTCACCTCGGTCCCTAAACATGACGGTCTAAAAACTTTATATCAAAAAATAATTCATAACTTTTTCATGTGAACTCTAATGAAGACAAACTTTATATCAAAATTGTAGCCCTCGATACGACCTACAACTTTTCAGTTGAAAAGTTTTTAAATTAAAACTGTTTAGGGTCCCAAAATATTGTTACATATTTATAGATTTTGAAATTTTAATTTTAAAATTACATTTTGGGACAAAACATGTCTTAAAATAAAAAAATTCAACTACAAAGTTGTAGATCGCATCGAGGACTACAAGTTGATATAAAGTTTGTCTTCATTAGAGTTCACATGAAAAGGTTATGAATTATTTTTAAATATAAAGTCTTTAGACCGTCCTATTTGACCCAGATAATATTCAAATCCAAGTTTAGAAACCGGGGTGACATAACTGAACAAGTTGGAGGATCTAAACGGGTGATCTGCAAGTTTAGGGACCGCGATGACACAATCAAACAAGTTTGAGAACCTGAACGGTCGATTTGCGAGTTTAGGAACCGGGATAACACAATGGTACAAGTTTAGAGACCGGTGATAGACTTTACTCTAAATAAAACCTTGCTCCAAGTGTTGGTCTTTCTTCCATTTCCCAAATCCCAACCACCAAGCAAGAAAACGTCCCAGCTTAAAGTGGTTTTCTATTTGGAAAAAAAAGAAAAGTATATATATGAGAGGAAAAAAAAATGTAGCAAGAGCTGGCCAAGAAAGGTCACCATCTTCCACCCCACCACCCACACCCTAACACTTATAAATACCCCTCCATCCACCTCCCAAATCTCCCCACAACCAAATCAACAACCACGCCATTGCCGTTCTCTCCTCCTTTCCTTCCACAACCCATCTCTTCCTCATCCTCCTCCTCCTCTTCCTGCTGCTCTCTCGCTCTCGTTGGATTCGGTTTGGTTTGGTTTGGGCCATGACGAAGCACGGCGCGGTGGTTGTCCCGGAGGATGCCGTGGTGGCGGCGGCGGCCGTCGGGCGGCATTTCTCGTTCCCGCCGCCGAGGACGGGGGGCGTCGGCGGCGACTCGTGCAAGAAGCTGGCGGCGCAGCAGATCGACCTCGGCGCCGCGGTGATCGGGTCGTGGCTCGACTCCATGAAGGCGTCCTCGCCGCGGCACAGGCTCGTGGCGCCCGCGGTCGCCGCCGCCGCCGCCGACGCGGAGCACGACGAGTGGATGGTAACTCACGCGCCGCGAATTTCCCTCCCTGTACATGTCGGCGATGTCGGTCTAAGCCGGCCGGCGGCGCACGCGCGCGGTGGCGCTGGAACTGAGACACGTGTTTGTGTGTTTTGTTGGTGGCAGGAGAAGCACCCGTCGGCATTGGGGAAGTTCGAGGCGCTGGCGGCGGCGGCGAAGGGGAAGCGGATCGTCGTCTTCCTCGACTACGACGGCACGCTGTCGCCGATCGTCGAGGACCCCGACCGCGCCGTCATGACGGACGAGGTCAGCCACCCACCTCCCTAATTCAAACTCTCCTCTCTTTCTTGAATCACCCGACGACGAGGAGGAAGAAGAAGAAGCAGCAAAGCAGAGCACTCTCTGCTTTGCTCTGCTTCTCCTCCTCCTCCTCCGGCGACCTCGTCGACCCACTCGTGCTGAGTTGCTGACCGGCCGGCGGCCATGGCTACGCGTGCAGATGAGGGACGCCGTGCGCGGCGTGGCGGCGCGATTCCCAACGGCGATCGTCAGCGGCCGCTGCAGAGACAAGGTAAAAAAAGAAAAAAAAAACACATAATCTTCTTTCTAGAACTCCACCGTTTGCTCTGCAATTTCTGCGACTTTTTGTTGGAAAGTACTCTCACGATCACGGCCACACATGACATACCCATCACTAATTAAGAGAAAAAAAGGAAAGAAAAATAAGTATATACTCACGAGGACAAGCGACCTAGAAGCTCCTCTACTTGGCATGAGCCTCAAAAAAGAAATTTAAAATTCTTTTGTCCTCGCAAGAAAAAGAAAAATACAAAATAAAAATGGATTTAATTGTTGGCTTGCGGTTGCTGAAAATGACGCGTTGGTTTGGGTTCCAGGTGTTGAGCTTCGTGGGGCTGGAGGAGCTCTACTACGCGGGTAGCCACGGGATGGACATCCAAGGGCCCACCAACGCCGCCGCCTCCAAGGTAATCCGACGTGGCACGGAATAGTCAACGGCCACCCTCGCACGTGTCACTTGTCTGGTCAAACCCCCTCCTGAGCTTTGAGCTTGAGCTTGAGCGGCAATGGCGGATGCTTGTGTGTGTGTGTGTGCAGGGAGGAGAGGAGGAGGAGGAGTCGGTGCTGTGCCAGCCGGCGAGGGAGTTCCTGCCGATGATCGGGGAGGCGTACGCGGCGCTGGTGGAGAAGGTGGAGGGGGTGATCCCGGGGGCGAAGGTGGAGAACAACAAGTTCTGCCTCTCCGTCCACTTCCGCCGCGTCGACGAGCGCCGGTGGGGCGCCGTCGCCGACCAGGTCAGGGCGGTGCTCCGGGGCTACCCGCGCCTCCGCCTCACGCAGGGCCGCAAGGTGCTCGAGGTCAGGCCCGCCATCAAGTGGGACAAGGGCGAGGCCCTCCGCTTCCTCCTCTCCGCCCTCGGCTTCTCCGCCGCCGGAGACGTAGAAGACGACGGCGACGACGACGACGCGTTCCCCATCTACATCGGCGACGACCGCACCGACGAGGACGCGTTCCGGGTGCTCCGAGCGAGGGGGCACGGCGCCGGCATCCTGGTGTCGAGGTTCCCCAAGGACACCTGCGCCTCCTTCTCCCTCCGCGACCCCGGCGAGGTCAAGGACTTCCTCCGCAAGCTCGTCACCTGCGCTGCCGCATGACGTCACCTTCACCTGACCACAGTGACACTAATTGGCTTCCTCCTCCTCCACGGGAAAGAGAAAGAGAGAGAGAGAAATAATTAAGGATCTTGATTAGTCAATTAGCGGTTACTAATCCCTGTATTAATTTTAGCCGGTCACTTCATTTCTTCTTCTTCTTTTTTTATGTGTTTCTGTTCTTGCTCTGCGGCTGCCATCTTGATTGATCGATCGATCTCACAGGCCACAGTGTGACAGCTCGATCTGAAGGTTTCTCTATTATCCTTAACCTTCCTCCAGCTGATCCAAGGCCTTGTAATTAGTCGTCAATTTTTAGCAGTTTGTTGTCTGTCTGTCTGTCACTGAAACGGGACGAATTAATCCGAATTAATACGATCCATTTCCACCTAATTTCAGTTTGTACTGTACCGTTTAATTTCCATCTAAATTCAGCTTTGCACTGTACCCTCTCTTGCCCATCATTTCGACGACGACAAGTGTTAATTGCAAGCTTTCACAGCTTGCCTTTTCCGAGTAATTGTCGCGACGACTCTCTGGGTGTGTTGATTTGTCGGTCGAAAGCGGCAGCAGGAAAATTAACCGAAAACGAGAGGTTCAGAGAGAATGGCACAATTTGCAGATGAATATATATATATATATATATATATATATATATATATATATATATATATATATATATATATATATATATATGCACAGTGCTATGGAGTCCATGGGTTGTCTGTGACTGTAGATTTGCCTCGCTAATCGCTGTTAGTACACTGTGTCAAGATAGATGCAGTTCGAAAGTTGCTTGGAATTGGAAAAGAAATGATTAATGCATCGGCAGAAAGTCCCATCTATGTGCAATGTTTCTTCTTCTTTTATGGCAAGAAAGATGTACTACTGTGTACGACAACAACAATCACTTGCCATGTTGTATCCTTAGGGTGAATGCAATATCTACTCGAGATATGTGGCAGGAAAGATGTTTCTCCGTTGGGATTCAAGCTCGAGATATGTGGCAATGCTATCTTTTTTTTTCTTAAGCTCCTCATCGTTTGCCCATATTTCTTACTAAGCTAAAATACTTGTTAAAAATAAAAGTTAATTTGTGGTGTATATATATACATATATATATATATATATACGTATATATATGTATGTATGTATGTATGTATGTTCGTTCGTAGCGACCTAAAAGCTAATGCTAAAAATACTATGTTAAAAATATCTTAAAATTAACTTCTACGTTTGAAAATTTAAATTTTGACTTTTGCTTTGACTTATTAGTGCAACCAATGGGGCTCTAAGTTGTATGCATCATTTAGTTCAAACGAAATTTTAATCATAAAAAAAGGACGCACAATTTATTTGTACTTAATCAGCACAAAGAGAGCACATTAATCATCGCAAGGTTGGTAAATTGATTAAAAAAAAAGGTGAAGAGGTTTCCTCCACATTCAGAGTAATATCCATTGTCAGTATACATTTTAATAGGACATATTTTTAAAAGTAACTCACATAAATAGTTTTGTTTGTAAAGAAATTTTACAATACTTATCTGTATGTAAAATATTTTATACTAAAAATTTTGATACCTTAAAGATACCTAGCCATAGAAATACGAAGTTTTTATACTAGAAATGTTCTTGGTACTTTATTGGATATAGTAAAATTACTCTTGTTCTTCGTGTGTGATATTTACTAATGGATATTAACTATGGTGACTTTGAAATGGCTTGGATTTTGGAATGTGAACTCTCAAATTAGAGGATCAGGTTTAAAACTTGCTTTCATTTTTATTTTTGGTTAAAAAAACTTGCTTCAGTACATTGATCGTTTCTAGGTAGGAAAGGAGTGTCGTAAGTTTTTTTTAACTATAGTATATAATTTAAGTGTAATTATATTGTATGATATAAGTTATATAAAACTTGCATTTAATTATGGTTTGGTTGGCTAGCACCAGGATCTTACGGTGACATGTGTGAAAAATTCTTTTTTCTCTTTCATGCATAAACCTCGAGCGATCCGATGGTCACAAATATGAAAGTTTTAGTAACTTACGCAAGTTTTCTAGCAATTCCGTTGTGAAAATTAATCCCCAATGCATGTTGGAAAGAAACCAGTCGTAACAAATTGAAAGGCCTATGCGCGATCGATGGATCGATCATGATTAGAAAAACAAAACAAAAAGAAAAAACAAAAAGGACAGACCTCCTAATTCTGTGGCTTCCGAAGAACGCCCACTTAATTGCATTGGAGTAGTACTATGCAGGGATGGGTGAGTGCACACATGAGAGCAAGCAAGAAAATTCAACGAGATGGATGGAGCACGGCCGTGCCGTACGTCGATCGCCATCTCGCCCCCTTACTTTACCATGCGATCTCGATCTCGAGAGCACGCCGCGCGCGATCGCCGGCCGGCCGGTGGCGACACCGACCATACCCAAACCTCGCGCGAGAGCATAGCTTATCTAGCAGACACATGCCTGCCCAGCAATCGCGCATCAGCTAGCTTAGCTATAGCTTGTGCCGTGACGTCGACGGCGACGGCGACCGCGACGGACAGGGACAGCAGTATAGCTTAGCAATAGCGTCGTCGTGGCCGGAGATGGACCTGGCGATCGAGAGCTAATGAACTCATCAATGTGCATATATACGCGAGACACCAACAGCTAGCACGCCCATGCTCCGTCGCGATCGGTGTCGGGAGAGGAGGAGTACTATACGCGCGGCGGCGCTCGCGCGCGCGGTGGCCGCGGCCGGCGGGTGTCCGAATCGCAGCACGCGCGCGGGCCGGCGGGGGTCGCTTGCTTTGCATGGATGCGGGGGTTCGCTTTCTGCTTTTCAGTTTTCACCCTGGAAATTAAGGTGCTCGTATTCAATTAATCGACGGCCGAGTTGCGATAATTGTGCACACGCGAGTGTGATTTTAACAATGACCCGTTTGGTGGAGCTCTAACTCCTAAATTTAGCTTTAGAAGTTGGATTTGGAATGGAGTTATAGAGCTGCCTAAACACAGTTCCACCTCTCTGGCTCATTTTATGAGAGAGCTCCACCTAGCTTCACTAAAAATGTTTGGTTGTTCTGGTCGTGGGGAACGCTAGGGGGAGGGCGGAGGCTCCGGCTTGCTGTAGGAGTTTGCGGCGGATTGATGGCGTTTCGAGGGTAGCCACGGGCCCGTCTTTGCCGTTGGTTACGGTCAAGGTATGACTACTTGTGAGACGACATGGACTTTTTTGTGGCCATCGATGTGGGGGTGCATGTGTGGGTGATGTGAAAATGCTGGCGAAAGCCTTGCCATGCCTTGGGCCGGTTCGACAACAACGGCGTCTGTGGGCGCCGTTTCCCTTCTTGGAGGCGTTGTAATGGCGTTCTTTCATAACCCCCACAAATCTCTAGGTGAAAACCTTGTTCCGATTTTCGGACGAACGGCGGCGGCGTTACGCGTCGTGTCCTCCTTGGGGGCGTCGCTTCGGAGAAGTTCCAACGCATCGATGACTATCGATGGTCCTTTTCGGTTCAATAGCTTGCATACCTTGCGTTTGGTGAGGCCTTCGCCTTCTTGGGTCCACTTCTTTCTTGTGGTGGGTGACACGCTATTCGGTTGTTTCTGCTGATGAAGTTGAAGCTGCTCGCTGATGGGGTGTGGCGACGCTCTCCAACGATGACATGTTGCAGTCTCTTCCAAGGAGTTTTGGTGCTAGCCGTGTGAAGGAAGTGGCTCCTCGGTGGCTTGGCTGATGTCCGTTGTTGGATGTCGGAGCTGCTTTTCGCTTTGGTGACTTGCGTGGCTTTAGTGTCGCTGCGGTTATGAAGTCGGCGCTACTGGGTCGCTTGGGCGGCTAGCTCAGCAACGATAACACCTCTTCTGTGATGTGGGAGCTGTTGTGTCGCTTTTGTGTTTAGCTTGGCGGCGACGTCCTGCGATTGGGCTCCGCTGTCGTTGTTAGTTGTGCAACGGTGGTTTTATCCGGTTTTCCTGTAATTAACTGTGCAGTTGTATGGTTTTCGGGCCCGGTTTTCCTTATAAACTGGGTCAATTATCTTCTTCTAAATATAATAGTGGAACAAAGTTCCGCCTTCAGTTTCAAAAAAAAAATGTTTGGCTGAGAGAGGTGGAGCTGGAGCTATGTCAAACAGGCCCTTAGTGTGAACTAATTAGTGAGTTGACATGTTTAGGTTGTATAGTAAAGGGTTACATTAAGGCTTTGTCTGAGAGAGCTTCAACTCAAGTCCAACCAAATAGTTTCAGCTCTAGCTTTAAAAAAAAGTTAATAAGATTAAAGTATTCTTACAAATTTAACTAGAGGGATGTAACGGGTTCAAGCTGTTCCACAACTTTACCTGAGTCTTGAAAGCTTTGTCAAACAGTAGTACCTAAATGGGTAGTAGTATACTTACCGGTGGATATATAAAAGCTCGATAAGAGAGAAGAAAGGGATTGAGTTGGATTTTTGACAGGATTAATTAATTCAGGGGGAGCAGTACGCCGACATTGTGCAAATCAGAATCGCCATCAACAACAGAGTGCGCATGCGCGTGTCGGGCTAGCTGAACGAGAGGCCATTTCGCACACCACGTCGTCTCCCCCATCTTCCATCTCCTCGCAACGTACTCCCTCCGTAAAAGAAAAAAAAAAGAGACAAACCCTAATTTTTATGTCTAATGTTTGACCGTCCGTCTTATTTAAAAAAATTATAAAAAAAATTAAAAAAATAAGTCACGCATAAAGTATTAATCATGTTTTATCATCTAACAATAATGAAAATACTAATTATAAAAATTTTTCATATAAAACGGACAGTCAAATATTGACATGGAAACCCACGGTTTACCTTTTTTTTTTTTTTTTTTGACGGAGAGAGTATGTCGACGACGCTAGCTAGCTCATCTCCGGTAGCCTCTCAATCGATCGATCGATCGGCATGACGTCACGGACGAATGCGTAAAAGCCTGCAAGCAAGCTAGAGCTAGTGTGCATCAAGCTAGAATCCCAATGCACGCAAAAGGAAGGGGGATCTGAGCTACGACGGACGACGACCATAATGGCGCCGAACGAACTCGTTTGCTTCGCCGGTTCAAAAAGAAAAAAGAAAAAAAAACACAGCAATAATTGGAGCTAGCTCATCGAAGCATCGAGATCGAGAGTACACGTTACGTTCATCAGAGCTAGGAGGAAGCTAATTAAGGTACTAGCTTAATTAGCTGCTGGACCATGCATCAATGGTCAAGCTAGCTTGGCTTAGCTTTAGCTTAGCTAGCTATAGATATATACTTCGTGATGGTGATCGATGCTGGAGATCGAGTACAACACACACAGAGTATCATATCGTTGCATCATCGTACGTACGCATGCAAACGCTAGCTACACAAGAAGGAACACGTAATCCTCTCCGTCTCATAA